AGACAGCTCTCACCTGTTGTCTGGCAAAAAAGTCTTTGACCAAGGAGCCCATGATCTGTTGAGGTGATCTGGCGGTGCAGATGTGTGGTGTGACCAGGCTACCAAGAACACGCTCTGCATAGCGAATCCATCCTGCACAAAAACACACACAATTACACATTTAATCTTCGTATGTTTACTACATACAGCAACTTGTGACAATAGTAAGCAGTATTGACTACCATTTTATCTGACAACACTGAATTGATATTCTCATACCAAAAATAATATTTTAAGTATTTTTTTACAAGTATTATAATTTTTTATTTTACTATTTTTGAGAAAAATAAGTGACCAGCATTCAGAGCTATGAGAAGGTGAAACATAGTGTGAGATTTATTTATATTTGACCAAAATGCAAACTCTGACAATAACTCATAACTGTGCACTAATCAAATCATGACAATATTACTGTATCTTGAACCCATTTATGCTACTACTACTACTACTAATCAATTTATTTGCTTAGTAAAAGTGTTAATTTCTTTTATATAACAAAATGTTGCATTTAAGCAAGACATATAGCCCTGGGTTGTTTCAATAGAACTCTCACTGAACTAAACATATTGTAAGTCACATTGGATAAACATCAGCTTAGTGAGGAAATAATCATCATCCATGATGAAAATGAAATAATGGCCACTGAAAGTGTGGACGTAAGTTGTTAAAAGGGCAGGAAGGGTGTGTAAGGCAGCTTACACTCATCTATCTCACAGCTGCAGAATGCTATGGCTATCTAACACAGTCCCACCCATTCACACACAACCCACATTTACACACTGCACCACATTTGGCTCTTATCTACATTTAGAGACAAAATGTTTGAAAAACACAAAGGCTTGAGGTTCACACAAAGGTGCTTATTTGTGTTGAACTACGATGTCAGTTGGCAACCGTTTCACCTATAATTTTTAAGAGTTCTATAATGATATGACGATCCAATTGAAATCTGCAGACTTTTCTTGCATTCAAAGCTGAAAGCTGTGATTACATTAGCTAACATAGATTTTATAAAAATGCAATACGGTGAAAATCTGCAGAGATTCTGTGTGGACCTACCTGCACGTTGCCACTTTGATCCCTTTATAGAAGTATAAGTGCTTTCTGGTGGAATGGGAACTTACAGCGCGTGTTAGAGATGTAAATGAGCTTAGGTGGTTATCAGGATGGTCTTACCTGGACATGAGGATGTGAACATCGGCATGGCATTAGAATCATGATGTTTACGACGGTAACGCTGAACAAACTCTCTCTGGCTTTCCAAAATGCTAAAACTTGCAGCTACTGTAGTTTCAAAGACATAATGGACCCCTGAAGAGAGAGATGAAAGAGGCCTTAAAACAGCACGAAAGAACTCACGTACCATTTACCAGGGTTACTGTTGTTAACTAAAACTATTAAAAACATTTGTTAATTGAAATATATCTAAAATGAATAAAAATGTAAACATTAGATGGAAAAACTGAAACTAAAAATAAGATTTTTTTCCCTTGGCAATTAACTGAAATAAGCTTTAAATACTAAAATTACTAGCTGTAAATAAATAAACTACAACTGAAATTAAAATGAAATAAAAAATAAATAAAATGACAAAAATCACATAAAATTACTAAACTAAAATGTAAATATTAAAATATAAAAATGAAAGCCAATATGAAATAATAATAAAAACTATAGTACTATATAAAGGATACTGGAATAACACTGATGTGTACAAATATTTAGGACAGTTATTAGCTTAGTCAGATTGCACGTGGCAAATGATTACTATAGTATGTGAACATTTTGATTAAGGATGTTGGCAAAGTGACAGTGACTTCAAGACAAATGTGGCATCCAGACGTACCCACACTCTTTAGGAAGCCACAGAGTTTCTTTGCAGCTGCTGGAACATCCAGCTGAAATTTAATAGCAAAAAATGGCAGCGACTGGAGACACACAGACACCACGAGAATTTTGTGCTTCGAAGTGTCACATTTCTGCCAAAGACACAAAAAGAACAACGTGAGATACATCCACACAGACCACCTTTTCAAAGTCTGGCATTTTTCAGGCTTACACTACACTACCTTATTGAGGGCAAGCACATGGTTGATCTCTTCCAGATTTTGCTGAGAGATTCTCTGGCCTTCGTCCTCCGATAAGCAGCCGTCACAGGACAGACACGCACTCAACAACACCTGCTGAACTGAGGTAGACTCTTTCACCTGAGAAAAAGCATGTATCAGATTATCAACATCCACACGTCCAAAACAAATTTGTTCATTCATCCTCCCCCAGACCAAACACAAACAAAACAACAGATGCAAACCAGTTTATCAGATGAGTGCAACTCAATGAGTGTGTCTGACACATTTCATGAATAAAAAACGAGAAATACCTCTCCAGTGGCAACACCTTTCTCCTGCAGTGAGTTTATACCTTCCTCACTCTGTTTCTTGTTGCACTAAGAGGTGGAATTGAGGGGAAAATAAAGTGATTAGTAACTAGATAAATCATGAGAACAGCCTCTGATTCAGACAGAAACTAAAACTTGCGCGAATACCATTGCATTTAGGTAAGACATACATCAGTATTACATTGATTTATTACCTGTTTAGTGCAATTCTCACACTTTTCTTTTTTCCGTCCAATACTGACTTCAGACATTGTATGAGGAGCTCCTGAAATGTTCAGTGCCCTGTGAAAAGATAATAAAATCGTCTCTCTGCAGCTTTCTGTATTTATAGAGCTTTCTGGATGTTATATGACACCAAAAACACATATTTAACCTAAAGAGCGGGGTTATAATTAAAATACAGTTACAAACAGCCCGTTAAAAATACATATTTAACCTAAAGAGCGGGGTTCGAATTAAAATAGTTACAAAAAGCCCGTTATTAACCTCAAACATTTACCCAAACTCAAATGTAAGGGAAATGTGATAATTTTAGGTTGCCATGATATACTCTATTCAGTTTCACCTGATTACTGTTTTGTGGATCTCTCTCATGCGTTTGTACATAACCACAGGTTAAGCGGTTGGATTACATTCATTTTCTCAACATGTGATTGGGTAATAACATCATCAAAAGCTCTGAGGACTTCGATTTCCTTAGATAACCGTGACCTTTACTTAACCACCTGTCCCGTAACCTAACGTTACCGAGTGTCTGAGTGCTAAAATAAAGCATAAACTACAACCAAACAAAAAATAGGCCACCCAACTCACATAAAAATCACACGAAGCCCTTATTGCTCAGGGGGAAACCCAGGAGACGAAGCAGCAGTAACGTTAACGTTAGGTCTTTACAGCAAGGAACTTCTCCTAATGACACTTGAAAGCGCGAGCTGGTCATATAACACTGATGATGTTCATCTAGTCATCCGTTTCACAACTCTGACTAATCCGAATGGGACACATTCGCGGTAGAAGGATCTCGGCTCGATTCGACTCCGGTGCATCCGACTCCATTGTCCTTAAGCGCTGTCCGATTCGTGAATGAACCGTCCTTTTGAGTCGGATATTTTGAATGATTCAGTTGAATCGTTCTCGAGTCACCAACTCACTGAACCAAGCAGTTCTCTTTCAGACATGTCTGATTCGTAAAGATTGAACATATCCTGATTCATGATTAGGCGGATTAAACCATATATATATATATATATATATATATTAGGGGTGTAACGGTACACAAATATGACGGTTCGGTACGTACCTCGTTTAACGTAACGGTTCGGTATGATTTCGGTACAGCAGGGGGAAAAACTTTTTTTTTAAATGGTTTACTGAACAAGTTGCTCTTTCTTTAAATACATTCAGTTATAGTTTAAATGCTCTTAGTGATAAAAATCTACCTCAGCTTATGCTTAAAACTATAGGGAGCCCTTTTACATTATAAGGTTACAATTAGGCCTAACAACTCTAATATATATATATATATATATATATATATATACATGTCTATGGATTAAACGCCATTGTCGGACGTTGACGTTCGACTCGCTGTGATCCCGGTTAACAATCAAATAATGCTATTTTAGGGTGACCATACGTGCCATTTTCCCAGGACGCGTCCTGGCCAGGATTTCTATATTGCCTAAAATATCTAGGCTTTGGCTTTGTTTGCGTGTGCAGACCGATCGGTGTATGACATCAAAATACCATACAGACGGTTCCTTACGCTTTCAAAATGCTCTCGAGGTATTTTGATGTCATACACCGATAATGCTATTTTAGTATTGTTTAATGTAAGTGCAAAAAATGTCCTAAATAACTTTGTTTTTACGAGTCGAATCATGGCTGCAACAAAATGAACTGGGACATAATAAATTTACAATAATAATCTCTCCCCAATTAACACAATTTAATAGAAAAATGTGCCTACAGTATGTAATATGCCACACCTTGTCGCAAGCCGTTTAGTACAGCAAGGAGTATTTAATGCTAAAACGGCTTGCCATAATATCTGCCATAACACCTGAATGTCAGGAGGGACTACGTGATGGCATGAAGACGTCATGACGTAAAGGAACCTCTGAATTGTTCATTCGGTTCATAGAACCGAACTGTTTGAAAGAACCGATTCGCGAGAATGACTCCTTGCCTGGATGGACACGCATGCGTGAATCAGCAACAATGCTTGATTTACTGTAAACTCCTTTTAGTCGTATATAAGAATATTTTGAGATCGTTTAGTTATGCCATATATGACATTTTAAGGGCATTGCATCAATTACTAAAACGCTTTGGATTTATAGACATTTCAATCAAACATAACTATTAGTGCAGTCTTCAGATAATCACGAGCTTGCTATTTATACAGATGTGTCAGATTATTCGCGAGCCACGACTCAAGCTCTTTTTGAACTTTTAGAAGCAGTTCGCAATCGTGCAGATAAGGGAGGCAGGCTTTATAATGTAAAGGGCGGGCTCCTTTAATAGATGCTGCCCAATCAGAACGGAAGCCGCTGAGCGGAAATCAACGTCATTCGAAAGCGGTTTCATGTGTGTTGTGTTGCATGATCTACACGTTTTATGTCCTTAATCTGTTTTGCTCCAGTTTTCTATTGCAGATTGCCAACGTTTAGATTTGGTATATTTTGAAAGTAAAAAAAAATTGACTGTTTAAAAGAGGAACGCGACTTATTAAGGTAAGTAAGATGCTTTCACATGCTGTCAGTTTATAGCAGGACATCTGTGATCACATTAACGAGGGTGTTGTCCTTGTGCTATTTCAAAAGTATATGAAACTGCTCAGGTTTATTATGATTATATATAGTATGCTGTACATAAAACACCTTTGTGCAGTATTAAAGGTGAGCTTTCCTTTGTACAAAGCTGCTGCCAGTATTCTGGCATGTTATGATGAGTACAGTGATGCTACACACATTACTGGAAATCTCCAGCTAGATCTTTTTGAAATGTATTTACAGATGGGGTATATGGTCGTAGAGAAACACACATCTGATCTTCTCCATTTGAAGAGGTCTCCTGGGATTAGATCATGGTCCCTCCTTGTTGGTATGAGCTCATTTGTAAAGAGAGAATTTGGTGACTAGAAGTGTGTCGTCTACCATGTGCAACATAAAATATCTTTTAACGTCTTCCTACTTCCTCTTTTTACAGGAATTGCTTCAGTTGGACTAGCAGCAGCCTATTACAGCGCTGGTGAGAAATGTTTCCTGAATGTCTAATAACCCTGGAATTGAATAAAACAATAAAAGGAAGTCTTTTTGTGATCTGTGTTGCTCACTTTGCTTTGTCCTTTTGTTGTAGACAGCATATTATGGAAGATGTTCTATGGGACTGGCTGTTTTTTTGTGGCTCTACAGAATATGGAGGAATGGGAGGTGGGAGACATTTTACACACGCTACATCTGTAGTGGCTGTACTCCGCTGTCCTAACAGTCTGTCTTGCTTTGTCTTTAGGAGGCAGTATTTGATAAATCTAAGAACGAGATAGAATTAAAGACGCTTAGTCTCTATACCATGATATTGACTATATGGAAAAGAGGACATGAGAGAGGTGAGTTTTGTGTTATATGTTGCTATTTATTTTGCACTATATGACTGCTCAAATGAAATGTTGTATTCTCTGGCTCAGTGGTGTTAGATCTGCGACACTTGCGGGACGTGAGTGTTCAGGAGGAGAGGGTGAGGTATTTGGGGAAGGGTTACCTGTTGGTGCTGCGTCTAGCGACAGGTTTCTCTCACCCTCTTACACAAAGTGCCACGCTGGGCTCACGCAGGTACTTAAAGCTCCGTTTGCAGTCCTGTGATTGTGTAAAAAAAAACAAAACAAAACAAAACAAAACAAAAAAAAAATATATATATACACAGTATATTAGTGCTGTCAAATGATTAAGCGCAATTAATCGCATCCTAAATGTTTTTTTTGTTTTTGTTTACATAATATATGTGTGTACTGTGTATATTTATTATATATATGTGACCCTGGACCACAAAACCAGTCTTAAGTAGCACGGGTATATTTGTAGCAATAGCCAACAATACATTGTATGGGTCAAAACTATTGCTTTTTCTTTTATGCCAAAAATCATTAGGATATTAAGTAAAGATCATGTTCCATGAAGATATTTTGTCAATTTTCTACCGTAAATGTATCAAAACTTAATTTATGATTAGTAATTTGCATTGCTAAGAACTTCATTTGGACAACTTTAAAGGCAATTTTCTCAATATTTTTGCACCCTCAGAGTCCAGATTTTCGAATAGTTGTATCTCAGCCAAATATTGTCCTATCCTAACAAAGCATACATCAATTGAAAGCGTTTATTTATTCAGCTTTCAGATGATGTATAAATCTCAATTTCAAAAAATTGACCCTTATTACTGGTTTTGTGGTCCAGGGTCACATATATAAATACACACATGCATGCATATATTTAAGAAAAATATGTTATGTTTATATATTAAATATATTTATATAATATAAATTTATGCATGTAAATACATGTAAATAGTTTTAAAAATATATTCTGTATGTGTGTGTACGTAATAAATATACACAGTACACATATTGTGTAAACAAACTTATTTTGGATGAGATATATATATATATATATATATATATATATACACAAAAGTTTGGGATCA